ATATATATATATATATATATATATATATATATATATATATATATAGCATGTGTGTGTGTGTGTGTGTGTTTCTTCACCATAGAATCCACCATGTCTCTCAAAAGTTCTGGTTCTTCTTATTGTAAAATAAGATTTAGAAACTAAAATTTCTACCCCTAAAATGTGCCTTTTCCTACAGAGATGTCATCGCTGTGGGCTTTCTCACAGAACAATGCTGAGGAATGCATTTTACACACCGTGACTAGTGTGGAATCAGAATAGTCACTTATTTCAAACAATTGCAAAAGAGAAGCCAGTGGGTCACAAAGGAAGCGTTCCTGTGGGTACATGCCTGATCAAAGGACCATCACCAAAACCTCTGTCAGAACCACAATCTTGCACAAAGGCCACCACATTGTCACACACACAAAAGACCTTCTGCCTCCGCAAGGACACCAGGCCAGCTGCCTGTGTAAACTTAATACTGACCTTATAGCCGAAGATTATTGTTTCAGTTTACATCATCTTCCCCATTTTGACTTTTAATTTTTTTTTCCTCCTTGACCATCCATACTCTCTAACAGAGCCAATAAAACCCCACTGCAGTTTCCAGTTTCAAATCCAGTATCCTCAGAGAATCTCCCACTTGCCATTTAAGTGACAGACAAGACAGAAAACCATAAAAATGCATAAGTGCTTATCTACCTGCATATAAACAGAGTCAACCATACTGCCGGCATTTTGATATCCAGCCTAGCTCAGAGGCCTTCCTCTCCCCTTCTTCTTTCCATGCTTCTAACCCTGCAATAGTAAAGCCTGCCACTGTCCCCAGTGCTCATACTTACAGTCACCAAGCTCTCAATGAATACTGGCCGGAAAAGCCCTTCTCCACAATTTAAAACAGTTTTCTTTGGTTACACATACTGGGAAATTTCTGTTGATCAGTCTTCAAGTCTCACTCCTGCTTTGGTTTTTACTATGTGCCTAGGCCTATCCACTGAGGCACTTACTTGAGATAATAGGCCTTTTTAATTCCAAATTTTCTATTTCTTTTTCTTTGCATTTTCCCCTTGTCTTCATTGTCTCTTCTGAGATTTCCCACAAATATGATACATTGGATTCATTGGCCCTACTATGCTTCCCAGCACCCTGAAGTGACTTACTGGACCTTTGGAAGACTGGGTTATGGATAGGACCGGTCAAATGGTTATATGAGCTGGGCTTGGAAGGATACGGCTTGGCAGAACTGTCTAAACTCCAAACTGGTGCCCAGTACATGATTCTGGGTCTTCCATAGGCAGGACGCATGAGTGCAGAAATCTGGCGCAGCACCCAGAGCAACGCTGCTCACTGCACGGCTGTGACATAGCCATCTACTAGCAGGGAGTTTACATCAACTGCTTTTCCTTTACAGGGTGCTAAATTTTGGGCCGTCAGTCAGTTTAGAACCAGCTGTTCCTCCTGGTCTGTCAGGTGTCATCATTTGTTTGGACAAGGTTATTTGGGGTCTTGCCCTTGACTGGGTGAAAAACAAGGCTAGGGGTGATTCTTACTCACAAGGCCTGAACTTCCGGTGTCAGGTGAGCGCTCTGTGTACCAGGCCCAAGCGTCTATCTACCTTGAGTGCTTCCAGTCCGGTAGCAGCCTCAACCTTCAAGGCATTGGGGAGTCTAACTCTGAAACGTGTCCCCAACTTCTTCAGAATCCTGTCCAGCCAACAAGAGCTGTCCATCATTCCCAAACTGTCTCTTCCTCTTGTGGTGTGTGGGACCACTAAGTGGCACTTGGCTCCATCTGTCGGTGCGGCCATCTGTCAGTGTACACCAAGCGCCTACCCACCAATGATCTGAGTCCAAGGAAGCCTGGAATTTAGGTCTGCAAGCAGTTCCTCATCAGTTTTGGTCCCTGAGCTTTATCCATGCTGGTGCTGGGAAGCCCAGGTCAGCATCGTTAGCATCCGTACTCCAGAAGAGCAAATGCAAACCTCATGGTTCTTTATAAACCCTTTTTTCCATGCTTTATTAGCCCTGTCCTTAGGAATTTCAGTGAAGTTATGGGTTTGGTTTGGTTTGGTTTGGTTTGGTTTGGTTTGGTTTGGTTTGGTTTGGTTTGGTTTGGCTTGGTTTGGCTTGGTTTGGCGTGGTTTGGAGTCAAGATCTCCTTAAACTCCCTGGCTCAAGAGCTTCCCTGTCTTTCTTTGCATTGGGTGGAACGACAGTCTTGTACCACAGCATCCACTTTCACTCAACTAAGAGATTATTGTTGAGGCTGCTTCTCAGAAGGGAGTAAGCTGTAGCACCTCAAAGGGTCTCTAGAAACTTCGAGTATTTAATTTTTTTCTCTTCCCTCATAAATCCCTGCCGCACTTGGCTTTTGTCATAACCATAAATTCCAGTGATAGAATCCTAGTTGAAAACTTTACACAGTTTCATAAGTGATTTAAAAAAAAAATCAAGCACTCAGGGAGGCAGAGGCAGGTGGATTACTGTGAGTTCGAGGCCAGCCTGGTCTATAAAGAGAGTCCAGGACAGCCAAGGATACACCAAGAAGAAAACTCATTTGAGGAAAAAAAAAAAAAATGCCTTTATCAGATTGGCCCAGAGGCAAGCCTGTGAAAGACAGTTTCTTGACTGTGTGGGAAGGCTCAGCTCACTCCTTGGGAAGGCTGTCCTGGAGTCAGAGAAGAAAGCAAACTGAGCAAGCCATGGAGAGCAAGCTCACAAGCAGTGTGCTTCACGGCTTCTGCTTCAACTCCTGCCTCTAGGATCCACATTCCAGGTGCTGGACTATGGTGTGAAAGTGCACGCCAAATACACCCCCTTGCCCCCAAGTGGCTTTTGGTTATGGTGTTTTATCATAGAAATAGAAACCCTAACTAAGACGCTTCATGAAACCATTTGATATTATAAAAGAAACAGAAAAATGCTACTTGGGAAGTGTCCCGGGCATGGTTTTAACTGTCTAAATGCATGCAAAGTGGAATTAGTCTGGTGACGATATACCCTGAAGTACAGACACCCCCGCCTCCCCAGAAGACAGCAGGGCTGGTTGTCTTGAAGGGACTCTGGGCAGTTCTGACCCAATTGTCCTGCCCATGCCCTACTGAGACTCACACCCACCGTCTTTCCAGGCTGTCTGGTCACTACTCCAGAGGAAAAGGGGTGGGAGGGAGTGAACTTGACACCAAGAACAAAGGATGTTCTGAGTGAGCAGCTTACCTGGTAAGGGCACTTCAGGAATGGAAACATCTTAAGAATGTCCTTAAGAGGTGTTCGGCCGCCTACCATCTTTCTTCTTATTTCCAAAGTCTGGCTCATCCTCTTGTCAATTTCTCTCCAGTCCTTGTCTGTTTTAATGTACTCTCTCTGGAACCAGTTAATATGCTCATCCACCTCTGCATCTAAGCAAACAGATTCTTCCTGCCAAATATTTTCAAAGTTATCAGTGAGTCTCATGTTTCAAGGCAGTTGAATACTTCATGAAAACCTGGTTCTCTGAGAGACTGTGTCACACTCTTTTTGCTGTATGTATAATTGTGTATTGCCATGTGTAATTTCACTTGGTCTTGAACACGGTTATATCTATTTTTGTTTATTCGTGTGTGTGTGTGTCTATTTGTTTGTAAGTGAAGTATGTTGTGAGCAGTTGTGTGTGGCTCACTATGGGTGCTGGGACTGATCCCAGGTTCTTGACAACAGCAACAAGAGCTGTGAGCTTCCGAGCCGTCTTTCCAACCTCCTAATTTGTGGTCTTGATGAATGTAAAAGAGTTATATTAGTTCCTACTTACCGCTTACATGGAATCAGGAAATCAGATTATCCTGAAAATTTACAATTTACCAGAGTGTTATTTCTATGGGCTTAGTTCTTAGACGACAAGAAAAGGCTTTAATTAAGGTTTTGTTCATTATGTGTCTTTTTTTTCCCTCTTTTTTTTTACATATGTGTATGTGTGTGGTGTGTGTGTATGGAGGGGTATACATGTATGCACATGAGTGTGGAGGTCATATGTTGACATTAGAGGTTCCTTGGCTATTTTCCATATACATATATGTGTGTGTGTATACAGGGGCTCTCTCTGAACCTACAGCTCACTAGCTGGGTACACGGGCTGACTGGAAGGCCCAGGAATCCTCTTGTCCTCACCTCCCATCAGTGAACTTGGTAGCAGCTACAGAATATCTATGTACCTTTGTTAAAAAAAAAAAAAAATGCTAAGACAATTGGCTTTGTGGAAGCAAGAAGGAAAACTATAAAAATTTATTTTGAGGAACTCAGTTGACTGCATTTGAATGAAAGCCAGCCAACAGTCTAGCTCACTAGGATGTAAGCAGATGTTACCTGTGAGTGAGGAAGACGATATTAAGGAACTAGAGTGCTCTGACATCAAAGCGTTACTAATATTAGGGAAACTTCATGTCAACCCCTATGTCTGTGAGCTCAGGATGACCAGCCAGACACAGATCAAGTGAATTTCTAGAGAAATATATTTCATCACAACACCTTGAAATAAAATTTCTCCAGTCTTAACATAAATTTCATTAGAAGATTAAAATCTTTCCAAAAATAAAAAGTAAGGGTTTAGAGCTAAATTCTACTTAACATTTGGAGTTGAGTGCTCTAAATTTATGCAAATTTTGCCAGAAAATTAAGAAGGAAAAAGAGAATACCTCCAGTCATTCTACAATGTGTCTCTAATGTGACCCTCAAATGTAAAAGAACAGCGCGAGAAAGGGGAATTCAGATCACACTCACAAATGAAATTCCAGAAACCCAGAAAACTATCTTGGGCTTATCACTGAAACACAGCATTCATTTGACTTTGCAAAGGAACTCTGAACCTGATGAGACATATGATTGATTTCTGCATAACATTTCACACGTTATCATGCTGAAATCCCAATTTGCGAGCCACTATTATGGAAAGGCTTGAGACATAAAAGAGAAACGCAATGTATTAAGAGCTCCATACTTTACTTGGCCTGTCCAAATATATGTAAACATTATATAGTGTATGAGGCAGTTTAAGATGAAAAACATAATTGATCATTCCAAATAATGTTGAAAATCATCACATATCATTCCACATCCATTAACAATTTACAGGAAAATATTCATCAAAGTAAAACAATCAATTTTAAAAAAAACTATATTTGTTAAACAAAAAAAAATCTCAAGCTAACATCATTTTTGAATGGTGAATTTTTTTTTAAAAGTGTTCTCCTTAAAGTCAGAGATATGTCAAATATGCTGTATAAATATTCTTAATCAGCTGTCTGCCAAGACAAGGACAGAGAAATGTGCACCAGAGAGATGGCTTGATGGTTAATGACACCTGCCAACAAGTTTATCAGTCTGAGATCAATCCCAGAATCCACGTGGGGGAAGGAGAGAACCACCTCCCACAAATTGTACTCTGACTTACACACCATATACACAGACACACAGATAGACACACACACATCACACACACACACACATACATATACACACCATACACATATCACACATAGACACAAACATACATACACAAGCTTCACACATAGACACACATACAGAGACATACACACATACATACAGCACACCCACATATACACACACACACCCACACACAGATACACTACACACACAACACACACATACATACATACACACCACACACACATATATATACACACATACTACACAAACAAATGTAATAAAATTTAAAATAAAAGTAAGTTATAAAACCCAGAGATAGAAAAGAATTGTTTTTCCTACATGATAACATTATTTAAGAAAAACACCAAATCATGCACAGTATGATTGAGAGATTTTTCTGAGCTGCTAAAAACAAAATCAATATACCTCATGTAGCAATAATAAAAAAATATAATTTGTTTTTGATAGAGTTTTACCATGCAGCCCAGGCTGGTCCCCAACTCTTTATCCTTCCTACCCCAGCCTATTAAATGCCGAGATTACAGGTATGTGCTATCTCACTCAGCTAGAAAACATTTTTTACTATTTTAAAAAATAATAAATCATTTTTAAAATAATAATGAAAAGTAAATCTAAATAAATGACAGGAAGATGAACATAGAGAAAATTACAGTTATAAACAAATGTATGGATTGGCCATTGACAGAAAGATTCAGCTTGTAAGAAGGCATCTTTTTCCAAAAAGAGTTATAGATCAACAGCATTCCTATTAATATACAAACTATCTGGAGCTGGAGAAATGTCTCAGCAGTTGAAATCATGTGCTGGTTTTTCAGAGAACCAGACTTTGTTTCTCAGAACCCATGTCAGGTGGCTCACAACTGACTGTAACATATACACACACACATACTAATAAAAAATTTTAAATTTAAGCATAAGACTCTTCTGAAAAAAAATGATAAGATTATAATAATAATGCAATAATAGGAGTAGAGGTATCCAGATGCTTCACAGCTGTGCAATCAAAGAATGTAGCTGTTACTGCAGAGGTAGATACAACATACTTTCAGACTCAGAACCAGAGAAGCAAGAAAGATGCACCATGGGCCCCTAGAGAGGGGAAGGACTATTTTACAAAGATACATGATATTATTCTGCCCCTTCTTGCCCCCCACAAAAGAATCCTTCATGGTTCAAGGATTTTAACGTTAAAGGCAAAACTCTTTTTAAAAATTAAGGGAAATTGAAGATTATTTTATTCCTTCAAGGTGAGAAAAGATTTTCTAAAGGCACTGAATCAAAAGAGAAATGACAGATAACCATAATTGTATTAAAATGACAGATGTATCTGTCAAAACACAAACAGAAAGAAATTAAAAGAAAAGGCACAGACAGAGAGAAGATACTTACAGTAGATATAACTAAAAAAGCAGTGAAATACACATACAAGATATATATTTATGATTCTTACAAATAATGTATTTATGATTCTTGCAAATATATATTTAAGATTCTTAAAAAATGGTCAAAGATATGAACAGAAACTTTATGGAGAAGTAAATGTGAGCCTTCTATAAATATGTGAAGATATGCTGAATTCATAAATAATTGTAATGAAAACCAGGTCCAATAAAGAACCAATTTATTTTCAGCAGGCTTGGGTGTGAAAAAGCTCCAATAATAAGTGTTGCTTGTGGAGTCAAATGTCTACAATCATTTACAAAAACAACTTAGCTCTGTCTTGCAAAGTTGCATATTTGCATAATCTATAAGCCAAAAGTTCCACGCTAAGCAAAAGTCTTTGGCAAAAGCTCCTGAATATGAACCAAAGCAGCGTGCCCTAATAGCCAAAACCAGGCACAAGTCAGATGATGGCAGACAGGAGAGCAGCCAGATACAGCAGGGTTTCCTGTTACATTAGATTGCTAAGGCTGTGGAAAAATAAATAAATGCACCATTGAATGTAACAGCCTGATTGTATCCCAAAGACATTATAACAAGTGGAAAACAGGAAGTTATCCAAGTCAATCATATTCATGACTTCATATCTCAAAAATAAGCCATATGGAACAGTAGCTTTCATTTCAAGCATAGAAGACAGAAATCATTGTCTTAAAAAGCATGTAAATGATAACATAAAACTCCAAGTCTCGGTTACTTCCAGACGCTGTGATGTTGGCCAGGTGAATGCTGGGGAAGGGGGGAGAGGGAAACTCAGGTCCTCACAAAGGTACCAGCAGTGACCCAGTTATAAGATGAATGTCACTCCTGCTGTCAACTGTCTCACAAACTGTGCACATGCACATTATTTTATATTCTCTCAAATGCATAAAAAGTATTTTCAATTAAAAAATGTCATATTTGTTCAAAAGTAAAAAAAAAAAACCTCTAAATTTGAGTTATATGAACAGCTTGCCACTTTTGAAAAATATAATGGAGTTATGTTGTTGCTGAAGCTGACATCTATAAACCGCTGTATGTATGGTGTACTGGCCCATTTTGACATCCCTTGCCTGTCATGACACTGGGATATCAGGTAGCCGCTATTTGATCTCCTGATGCAGGACTGGCAATGGTTAGGGCTGGTGTCGCAGACTGACTGTATTTACTTAGTAGAGGAGTGCATCAGAATCTTAAGTTCTCAATATTCTCATCGTTTGAATGATTTCTACATTACTAGATGCATTATTAACAACCTTTATATTGTCAGGGCTCAAAGGAACTGAAAAATTGGCTGGTCCAGGTCTCTGTCCTTAGGAACGAGCACAGGAGGATCCTCAGAGACAGAAGGGCTTTTCAAACACAGAACGAGCCAGAGGAAGCAGGAGGCTTCTGCTGGTGAAGACCCACTTCTCTTGTTCTCCAGGCTCATTCCAGAGCAGTGAACACTGGGGAGAGCAGATTCAGGGATGAGCCCCATCTAGCTCTTATAGGACTGCAGTTGAAGTGTTGTACACACACACACACACACACACACACACACACACACACACACACAC